TTTATAAACTTGCATTTTTCTTCACTAAACCATGTTAATTTTGACCAATTGTAAGGCAAACCAGCTAAATAAGAACAAATGGAATTCGAAGGTGATGTTTCATGTCTTTGCCTATATCGGAATATATTGTATTTAATATTTGAGCACTACTCATTAGGATGGATCTTATGCATTTGAGTATTCTCTACGTCATCAGAATACAGTTATAGTATAGCCAAGAGTGACATTGGAATATTAAAAAGATTAATATATGGACTACTCAGTTTCCTTAATCTTATTGCTTTGAGTTTAATATTCATCGCAAAAAGTGAAATAATAGTAAATGATTATCTATGAATATATGTTTCAATTTTATGGGAACTATCTATATACAATAAGATTAAGGTTCAGCAATACGTTAGGCAAATAATACCATCACATTATATAATCGAATTGTTCACGACAATCGGAATAACTAAACGGAAGAATATTGGAGAATATTCAAAATTAAAATGAGTATAACCCATTAGTAATTGCAAAACCGTATATATGGAAATGTTAATTTAATATTAAAACTAAAGATCAAACAAACTTATTTAACCTTTGCTTCCACAAAGGTATATATTTATTATTATTCCTAAACCTATCCTAAGGAAAGTAATTAACCTATTCTTGGAAATGCGTATTTAACAAGAAGAGAACAAAAGATCCAATAAACAGTTTTAACCTTTGCTTCCACTACGGTATATCTTCATTATTATTACAAAACCTATCCTAAGGAAAGTAATTAACCCATTGTATATAATAGGAGGATTTGCATAAAGACTTGGCATAAGAATGATTTGCTTGATCAAAATCATTTTGTGTTATCTTCATATAACCCATTAGTAATTGCAAAACCGTATATATGGAAATGTTAATTTAATATTAAAACTAAAGATCAAACAAACTTAATAAATATTTGCTTCCACAAAGGTATATCTTTATTATTATTCCTAAACCTATCCTAAGGAAAGTAATTAACCCATTCTATATTGAAATAATAGTAAATGATTATCTATGAATATATGTTTCAATTTTATGGGAACTATCTATATACAATATTCTGTTGGTTCAGAAATACGTTAGGCAATTAATACCATCACATTATATAATCGAATTGTTCACGACAATCGGAATAACTAAACAGAAGAATATTGGAGAATATTCAAAATTAAAATGAGTATAACCCATTAGTAATTGCAAAACCGTATATATGGAAATGTTAATTTAATATTAAAACTAAAGATCAAACAAACTTATTTAACCTTTGCTTCCACAAAGGTATATCTTTATTATTATTCCTAAACCTATCCTAAGGAAAGTAATTAACCCATTCTATATTATTTAATACTTGAGCACTACTCATTACGATGGATCTTATGCATTTGAGTATTCTCTACGTCATGAGAATTATGATACCGTATATATGGAAATTCAATATTATATACAAGGATTTCAATACCGTATATATGGAAATGCGTATTTCAATACCGTATATTATGTACCAAATCATAATATACAGAGAATGCCGAAATATTCGAATACTCGAGATAATTAAACCAAATTAATTATCAACTNTATGCATTTGAGTATTCTCTACGTCATGAGAATTATGATACCGTATATATGGAAATTCAATATTATATACAAGGATTTCAATACCGTATATATGGAAATGCGTATTTCAATACCGTATATTATGTACCAAATCATAATATACAGAGAATGCCGAAATATTCGAATACTCGAGATAATTAAACCAAATTAATTATCAACTGCAATGATTACTTTTTTACGGGAATCGACAATTAATTTTCACACGCAACAGTTATTATTGGGTTGAAAAGGTGGCAACTCAACCGTTCAAAATCTAGAATCCTCTTACTTAGCCTATATATAACCTTTCTCATATCTCTTCTACCAAAGCACCGTAACCTCTTTCTCTCTTTTTCCATCAAGAAAAAAAGAAGATCTTTGTAAGAAATCTCTTTCTCTCTTTTGTATACTTTTTTATGATCATATCGAGTTTAGAGAGTTTAGATTTAAGATTAAACGGAGATTCGTGATAAGTAGAAACGTATTTGATTTGTAGATCTATTTAGTATTTGTTTCAGTTTAATATATTAGATTTTACCATCCGTGCAAGTGATAAGTAGAAGCGTATTTGATTTGTAGATCTATTTAGTGATAAAAACCTTTGTTCACATAATCGTACCCCTTTTTTGTTTAGATAATACTTTTAGTTTTATAGCCGTATTCATGAACTTGTATTTCTTTAGATCTGTGAGATCTAAACCCTAGAGATATATTTGTATAAAAATTAAAAAATTAATTTATATATTTTTACGTTGTTTAGATCTAACAGATTTGTGTGTAGATAAACATGCATATATTTAAAAAGTTTGTTCTTAAATGAACATGCAGATCACGATCAAAGGATGGCATACAACCGCGAGAGGAACCTCAAGCAACCTATGATTGAAGATTATGGACGCTCAATAAAAGAGGGGTACTGGAATGGAATGTATGATAGGATCAAGCATTACCGAGCACTTCTCAAGATGTACAAGGAGTTGCAGCAGGCCGAGTATGAACGTCACCAAGCAGAGCTCGAAGTCTATCGCATTGCTGGTAAGTTGGAAGTGATTGAAGATCTCTTCAACGATGATGCGATCATGGAGGTGAAGGAGAAGCTTAAGAGTGAACTTGTACTTGCTGAGGCTAATCTTGCTGATAAGAAGGTTCCGACTATGAACTGGGACAAGTTGGGGGAGCCACATATGTGGCGTTAATCTAATCTACTTAATCCTCTCTGCATCTTCGTTAATGGTTTATGTTTTTAAGTTTATTGCCTATGAATGTTTGGAACCTTTTGTTCTGGTTTATAAAACCAGTTGTTATTAAGTATTGCTCCGGGACTGAAGTACTCTTAATGGTTTAATATATTTTGTTTTAAATTTTTGAGTATCTCTTTTTCTTTGATTACAGGTTCAGATTAGACTTATAATCCGTTTAGGTTTAATCATCCAATGGTTCGAGTCAGTATGATCTTATACATAAGATTTGATTTAGACCATTAATTAGAGTAATTATTGGTTTCAAAAATTAGTTGACAATTTGCTTTTGGATCTATCTTTGAGTATATATGAACTTGTCCTTAGTCGTAGTTATCTGATACATAGTATTTTTCTTCAATTGTTTGTTTTAAAAATTCCTTTCTTATGTTATGGCAAATTTGTCTATGAAAACAAGTCATTCCTTATGTACTTGGGATATTGGGAAGTGTAAATCATTAAAAATGGAAACAAAACTGAGTTGTTTATAATTTGAGTGGTTGCAACTTGCAGATTGTAAACTACTTTATGAAAATTATGTTTTTCTTCGTCAATTTACTTATAAGTTATAAAACCTAATGAAGGGAACACATCTCCATTCTATAACATATCCTGCAAAATAGAGATTTACACTTTTTACAAAATTGTATAGCATTAAGTGATAACTGAGCATTTAGTGCTGTGAAATAACATTTTCATATTTGATTTTCA